AGCTATGATGTAGAGATAGTAAACTATGACCATCATCTTAGTTGTTAAATTCATAGCTAGAGGCAAATTCTTCAACTGACATAGAGATGAAAGGAGCTCCCCATCAATATAAAATGGCAGGAAAACACAACATGAACAGCAATCAAACAGACACATACCCTTTTCCAGGCCCCAGTTTCGGAGAGCCCACTCCCTCTTTTGTACGAGAAAGGATGTCTCTCACTCGAAGTGCGGCCAGCGGATCTTTCTCTTTCCCCTTATCAGCCAAGGCAGTAGGACTGAGGTTCAATATGAGGAAAAGGCTATTTAACAAACACCAGGCACCCAGCAATTGGAAGTTCTGATAGTGCTGTTGAAAAAGGCACAAGAAATAAACATAAACAGATTTTAAAGGCTACACATCTTAGAGACTGATCAGGGGAAGGTATAGCTCAGTGGCAGAATGCATGTCTAGCATGCATGAGGTCCTAGGTTCAATCCCCAGTACCTCCACTAAAAGAAATAACTAATTAAAACTGGGGAGGGGTGTGAGTAGAGCACAGTGGTACAACACATGCCTAGCATGCATGAGGTCCTAGGTTCAATCCACAGTACATTCATTTAAAAACAAACAAAGGGAGACTATATGTATGTGAGACGGGAACACAGCAGAGATCAGCTTCTTACCTCACCACCAGCCCGGCGGGAACTGCTAATTGCTTGTCCAATCATGTCATAGATTTCAAGCTGTCCAATATCAAACACACACAAAAATCTGAGCAAGTTGATATAGTTCATTACAAATGCTAAATCCTATCCAAATCAATTTAACCTGAAGAGTTAAGTATCCTCGAAGCCACTTCCAATGATACGACTTCCCTTCATCTTCACATGACGCGCTCTCTCCATTCAGCTCACATGCCACCTTGTCAGAGGTGCTCCCCACCCAGTCTAAAGCAGCACACCCAGGACCGCATCAGAGCCCTTCCTATCACATCCGTTCATCCTACCCACTTACACCAACTGAAACTATCGTATGCCTCCATTAAAAGTACACTGACACAAAGTAAGCCCTCAAATGTATTTGTTGATTTAATGATTCATTTTTCACAAAGTCTATTGCCACCACAAAACTGTAGTGCTTTCTGCAGCCAACCAATCTGCCAAAAAACAAACTAAATGCCTACCTCTGAGACCTACTGCCCAAGGGCATGGGGTTTGTGGAACACTCCACGTCCTTCCCTCTAACAAGGAAGAAAATGGAACTGGCCACATTCCCTCAACCGAATAACCAAGGCTCCTGCATCCCCAGAGCCGTAGCTTACACATTTCTGGACAATCGTAGCGGCATCACTCTCATAGTCTTCTTCTTTGGAGCTCGTGGACCCTGTCCGCACTTGCTGGGCACTACCCACATGAAGGATGGCCATGCAAGTTGCCACACTCACACCTGAAAAAAAAAAGATGCACACATTCCAAGAAGCTGGAACACAAAAACACAACCCACCCATAAGCAATTTGAGGATCTGATTACTGAAAGTAAACTCCATAAGGGCAAGACAAAATATAGTGTTACCATATGATCCAGCAATCACACTCCTAGGTATTTACCCAAATGAGCTGAAAACTTCCATCCACACAAAAATCTGCACACAAGTATTGTAGCTTTATTCGTAATTGCCAACAAATGGAAGCAATCAAGATGTCCTTTGATAGGTGAATCAGTAAACAAATTGTAGTATATCCATACAAGGACTATCATTCAACAATAAAGAGATGAACTACTATGCCACAAAAGGACACAGAGGAACCTTAAATGTATACAGTTGGCCCTGCACATCTGCATGCTCCACATCTGGAGATTCGATCCAATTGGTGAAATCTGTGGATGCAGAACCTGCAGATGCTGAGGGCCGACTGTACTACACCATTTTACATAAGGGACTTGAGCATTCACGGATTTTGATACCTGCAAGGCATCCTGAAACCCTGTCTCCAAGCAAAAGAAGCCAGTCTGAAAAGGCTACAAATTTTATAGTTGATTCTAACTAGTCACATTCTGGGAAAGGTAACTACGGACACAGTAAAAGATCTGTGGTTTTCAGGGGTTAGGGTTGGGGGTAGGAGAGAGGGATTACTATGTGGAACACTGGGGATTTGGGGGGCAGTGAAAATATTGTGTCTGACACAGTGATGATGGTTACGTGATATCGTGCGTTTGTCAAAACCCACAGAGCTGTACAACACAAATAAGGAGCCCTAATGTAAACTATGGACGTCAGTTAGTAATAATGCTATCAATATCGGTTCATCAATTACAACAAATGTGTCATATTAACGCAATATGTTAATAAGGGAAACTATGTGCGGGGAAGAGAATATACGGGAACTCTGTACCATCTGCTTAATTTTCCTGTAAACCTGAAACTTCTTTAAAAATGGAATCTATTAATTTTAAAATATGTACTAAGATTTTTAAGATGATGGGAAAAAAAATCCCACAATTAGGATTTCTCAGCGACATCAAAGCTAAATCCCTTTCTTTAAATCAAATCCCACAAATGATCAGATTTTAACAACAAACCAAGCATGGGCTCTTTGAACAACTAAGAATTTTTAAGGAATCTTTAATCCTTGTCAATTGTGTACACTGAGAGCCTTGTGATATTCAAGAAATTCTGTGAAAATTGAAATTAATAAATCCCAAATCTAAAACTTCAAAAATCAAAGACAGAGAGCCAGGAAATAAACGTGAGAAATGGGCTTGGAGAGCACGCACTGCCACACGTGTCCTGGGCTCTCCGTTTCCACTGTAGCCGCTCTAGCTCTGGCCCCTCACATGTCTTGCCTGAGTGGCTGTAAACTTCTCCTAACAGGTCGTCCAGCCTCCCAAATTTCCCCACACCAATACCCTGCGTATTACAGCTTGAATGTGCTTCCTAAAGTATCTCTCAGATCATATCACACTTCAGAGTCTTTAATGGTCTCTATGGCTACAGGATATGGTCCAAATGACTTAGACTGCCAAACCCTGTGCAGCTGGGTCCTCCTTTCTTTCCAGGTATACAACACCCACTAACCTCTCTCTCTCTCTCTCTCTCCCTCTCTCTCTCTCACACACACACAGTATGTTCCCCCAAACTCTAGCATTCTTTAATTCTAGAGTTTTTTCGGTCCTGCTTTTGCCTCTGCCTAGGGATAGCCAAGCTGAAATGCTATCTACCCTCCAAGACACATCAACAGAACTCCTTAGTGGCTACTGCCTTCTCTGATTGAAAGTGTCTTTATCTTTATATTCCTATTTGCACAGAGATGTTTAAAATAAAGCTATTCAAAGAAATGATTAACTTCATCAATTTCTTTGTGCTCCAAAGTTCCAGTTTCCAAGACTGTTCAAATCCCTACTCACAAAACCCAGTAAACAGCGGAAATAGTTATACCTCCCAAGACATACCAGGACTATAGCATTTAAAACTAAGGATCAGTAATTGGGTTAAAAAGTCATTGTAACAAGAACTTAAAAGAGAGTAAACACCAGCTGTCAGGCCCCTCTTCCATGGCAGCATAATTAACAGGAAGAGAGGGGATTTTGTGGGAGCAGGAAGAAAAGACTTTGCATTTATCAATATAAACAGATACCACCTGTTCCATGAAGCCCTCCTCAAACCTACTCCCACAGCAAGACTCATCCTCTCCCTTCTTTGTGTACCCATCATATTCTACACTTCTCTTACTGCCTTATCACCTTCTGTCTTACATTATACAATACAGTCCTCTCGTTCTAGAATGCTCAGATACAGGCTCCTTGAGGGCAGGGATTACATACTGCTTATCTCAATATCCCAAGAGCACTTGGCATTTTGCTTTTTACACAGTAGACACTACGTGCGCATACTATGAAACTCAAATATGCACATATGCCAGCAGTTGAACAATAAGGCAATTTACAAGATTCCTACTGAGACCTCATTTCACCTCTATGAGATATAAGATGATCCTTGGGGGAAGGGACTAAGTAAAGGGGGAGAGAGTACTCAGAAGGACCTCATGGTTTCTGGAAAGTATAATCCTGCTTGACTGAGAAAGTGAGGTCAGATGTGAATAATTTCGCACCTGCATACAAACAGCTTAGGCTGAGGACTGTCACATCCTGCAGACGAGAAGGATTGAGAGGTTCCAACACAGGTAGAGAAAGGGTATCCAATGCCATGGTTACATCGATCACCAGTGAATGAAAACTGGAACACAACAGAAGAGAAGATTAACAAAAGTGTCTCTCTGAATGACTTGCTTCTATAATCTAACAGCTAAAGAAAGTCAGCATCCCAGAGAAATGAACTAGCTTCTCTATTTTTGAGAGCAGCATCAAAACATAAATCATATGCAACCTGGAGCACCTTACCCATTACGAACAGCAGTGGCATCTGCTACTGTTGCAGGCATGATGAAGAAGGAATTGGCTAACACTGCATCTTGAAACCGATTGATGTAGCGGAGGAAGTACGGCAGGTTCAAACACACGCGCAGTAGCTTCTCGGAGCCACCTGAATTAATGAAAAGGCTCAACCTTACAAACAGGTTTCTGTCTGCTGCTTGATTCTTTTCCACTCAAGGGGTTTTTCAAAGCAGAGAAATCAGCCTTCTGACAACAATTAAGAGTCTCACCAAGCTCCTGAAGACTAGCCACATTCTGAGCTATGAACACATTCTTCGTTTTGATAGCAGAGGCCTGATCTGTGGATGACTGCTCATCACTTTCTCCTTCCGCCTGAAGAGAAACAAAGGATGTGAAAGGCCAACCAAGATACTATCATCTCTTGAATGATGCCCTCAAGCTCAGAACCAAACCAACGGTCCAAACTCAGCAGCAGCTCCATGGATACTCTTCAGACTCCCCAGTTAATGAGGGTTGAATTCCTCCCTAATGTTGGGGAGGACAAGTTATTTTCCCAAGAGGAGGGGGAAATACTGTTTTAAAATATATATATTCTGTAACTAGTATAGAGTGATGTCTTTAACAGGCAAGAGCACATGCTCTGTATATCTGCCTATTTGCAATTGAGAAATGATAGAAGAATGATCATCAAAATATTAATGACTAGACAGAAGACACTGGGTGAGTGTTACAGACTTTGGGTTTGTATTCAACTTTTTTCTTACCACAGGCATGTTTATCATTTTATATTTTAAATATAAAATGTTAGCTGTTTTTCCCTAGTATCATCATCTTAAACTCCACAGGATGAGGCCATTTGGCTGAAGTAACTCACTGGAGCCTGTGGACCTACGGGCGATGATGCTACAGTCCTAGGGTTGAAAACTGATGTCAGCTGGTTCACAAAATTCATCTGGACCTCCTTCTGCCTCAGCTCTGGGCTTACTGGTGAGGCCAGCTCTTTCTGATCTTCCACTACAAAAAACAAAAGCAAGAGAAGAGATGAGGGGAGTGCCCCTACACGGCAAAAAAGGAAAAAGCTGGCCAGGGAAGTGGGCACTCTCACCATCTGAGAGAGTCTTCACCGTCTGTGGCAGCTTGGCCGATTTCATCATTGCTGTAAACGTGATAATTTCAGTTCTGTCTAGCCGGCTACAGCCAGTGCAAAGGCCCTTGATGAGGAGAATCAAGTGTTTCTGAAAAGAAAACAAATTCAAATAAGTCTTTTAGAAGAGCCTACTCTTCTGATACTAAGGAACTGCAAATCAGGAAAAAACACTAAAGCAGAGACCACAAGCTGTTGGTCCTCAGACCATACTGCTTACAGATTTGTCCTAACGGTCTCACTGTGTTCTTTTTGTTGTTGTTGTCTTAATCTGAAGTTATGGCCAACTTTTTAAAACACAGAAGGTTTAACACACAAATCCAGACTTCCTGTCTCTCTCAGTAATTCACAAGGTAGACTCACTTCGAGTTTCCTGCGTGGCAACAATCAGCTAGACCCAAGTAGTGACTGGCCCCTTTACAGCTAAGTCATGCACCCTCCTCAGCTACCATTGACTCATTTTATGTTACTTGCCTGGCCCCCACAGGCGTATAACTGCAATCCTTGAAAAGGCCTCTGCAGCCCTCTATACTAGAGGTTGGCAAACCATCACCCCAGTTCAGCCCACTGCCTGGTTTTGTAAACGAAGTTGACTAGACCACAGCTATGCTCTTCCATTTATGTATTGTCTGCAGCTGCTTTCACACTACAAAGCAGAGACTAGCTGCAACAGGGGCCGGATGGTCAGCAAATCATTTACTATCCGGCCTATTACAGAAAAAGTTTACCAACCCCTGCCCTATGGCATCCCTTCTCCATCATTCCACTAGCCAGTCACAAGGCCGACCTTAAAGTAAGGGCCAGAAAGGGGCCCATCACACTTACCTGGGACACAGCACAAGCCTCATCTGGATTCTCCAGACGTAAGAGAGAAAACTCAATCAGGACTTTACAGGCTGCTGCCACCGACTGAAGTTGGTTCCGGGGAACTGAGAAAGTAATAAGCTTTACTTAACCCCACACTGCTAAACTCACTTCAGCCTCACAGTCCACAAGTCAAAAAAAACCGAGTACTGAGCCCCGTAAGTCCAACATTCCCAATATCATTCAATGATAATAATTATCCAGAACCAACAACCCAACAGGCAACTAAAGGCATCTTGGCATTGATAGCCATCAATTGCTCACAGATCAACTTAAAGATAATTATAATACGAAGTACATCACAGTAAGTACCAAGCACTTCAAATATATTAACCCCCTTAACCCTTAAATCAATTCTATGAGATAAGTATTACTGTTACCCATTCCTCTCCCTTTTTTTAAAGGATAAGGAAATTAAACCGCAGAGGGGTTTAAATGACTTGCCCAAAGTCACATATCTATAGAGTCAAATCCAGGAAGCCTGACTCTGAAGTTCATGCTCTTCTTAACCACAAGAGTATACAACCTCTCCTTTCCCTTTTTGCAACAGGCTTCCTACTCAAAGTTTCCCCAAGCTAAGTGATTCTACACAAGCAGTCAATGACTATGACAAACAGCACTGGACACTGAAAGATTACTCAGCAACCCTGTAACTTCCTTTCACTTCACTTGCTTAGCAAACAATTCAAGTAAACAAATAATTAGAATTCTTCAGAACTATGAGTTAGGACGTTTTTTAAAAAGTGAAAATGCAAAATTTCAGAAATAGCGGAAAGTAAGGGCCTGGTCACTTTGGGGACAGAAAAGTTTAAAAGATGGGGAACTGAAGTTGAAATTCATTCACATAGCAGAGAACACGAAAGAAAAATTTAATTTCTCACCAAAACCAAATCAAGAATAGAGCCTTGGGTAGCGGCTGCTAACCCCAGGTCAGTATCCACCTAATCTCCCAACTCCCACTCCCTGAAATTAGCACACTAGTAGTCACCTGTGTGAAGGCAATAAAATGCTGTAGATTTAAAAGGCAAGGTTAACTTAATGGGTTATGAAATAGATGTCCAAATCAAACAGTTTTTAAATCCTTTCTGCTTGGCCTAGGTAAAGGAACGTCAAGCGCCTTATCAGATAGACAGTTGTCTCCACTCTTGGATGAACCTGAAATAGACTTCATTAACAACTTGTTCAGACACCCTAACAAGAGGATACACAATCCCCCCATTCACAAGCCCTTATAAGCGAGTAACAAGAGAGGAATACTTACTGAGGCTACAAACTGTTGTAATATAGTGCGTGGAAAGTGCAACGAAAGATGAGTAGAATGGCTCGTACTGCTTCTCATGGTGCAGGATTTCTGATTCACTGCAAAGAAAATAATTCAGCCAACATTCACTTAGTGCTTACTATATGCCAGATACCCTACCTCTTAATAGACATTACCTTACTTAACCCCTGCAGCAATCCTGCTTGGTAGGCACTGCTATCACCCCTAAATTCAAGCTGAGAAAGTGAAGCTTAGAGAATGAAAAGTGTCTTGATCAAGGTAACAGGCTTAGGTAAGTGGCAATGGTTAACAAACAAGAGAACCAAACTCACTTAGAATTAATGTCAAGTTAAAAAAACAACAGGATACCATTCTGTCCTATATTACAGATTGGCAAAGACCAAAAGCTAATTATGCCACATGCTGGCCAAAAGCAGGTAGAGCAGAGCATTCAAAACACTGTTAGCGGAACACAGACTATAGCAACCCATTCTGAAAACCAAAGAAGGCCAGTTCATAATGCAACAACATTAGAAAAATCAACAACTCAAGGGAAGAGATCATCTGATGGGTCTAGAACCCAAAATTTAGATACCAGAGTTTCCATTTCTTTCCCAACTCCCACAGGATACAACTAGACCATAGCAAAATGATTTTTAACCACATCCCTTATCCTTAGCTAAGGAAATGCCCTCTTCAGTGAAAATCTGGAGCCCAACTAGGTTTAAAAGCTGGATATGTTTATATTATTCTATTAAGTCAGATGCTAGTCAGCAATCCAAGAAACAAGAAGGCAAAGAAAACACTAAAATGTACCTTATTAAATGGAAAGAGGAGAGCAATGTAGCTAAATAGTTTCCTCAGTAAGTTACTTCTCCACCAAGAACTATCACCCAAGGAAGAGAAATGTAAACAGTCAGGACTCTGTCCACTTGCCAAATCAACACAGGAGCCAAAAAACACAAGTTCAACATTTGGAAGGTGCCAATGTTAAGTGCTGAATCACCTCAAACAGCAGCACTTAGAAGCCTGGCATTGCCAACTCTTTGCTATTTGGGGATTTATCAAGGATAAACAGGTATTTATCAAAGATCAGTTCCTTATCTTGGAATAACTCCCTCACCAAGAAAAAAAATATTTAGGCAGCACCTTCGTATTTATTTATTTATGTGCAAGGACATTCCTGCCCACCAATCATCATTTCTCCCTATTTGTCAAATGGACAAGAAGAAGGAAATAAAAACCCTTACAGAGCAAGCAGCACCCAAAGTTTCCGGGGGCCATCACATTGTAAGGGTCACATCCATTCAGCAGAGAACTCCCTGCCCCAACGCTTCTATGTCGTATGCATGGTTGTTCCTTCATTCCCACCCTTACACTTTAGTATTCATTGCTCTAAAGTTTCCCTACTCTGTAATTTGATAGATTTTTACTACGTATTCACCTTCTCTGCTTTACTTCAAAACTTTAGAGCTGCTTACTCCCATGTTTTTCAGCTGAACAGGTTTACCAAAACTAAGAGAAAAACTGCCCATCCAAAGGATGAACTTATTCCCATCCAGATAACGAAATATTTGTAAAATATAGGACTAAACTCATTTAATTGCCTGGTTCAATGTTGCCACATTGTGATTTAACAAACCCTACTTCCTATCCTAGAAATACACAACCACCTTATTCCAATCAAGAAACAAGGAGAATGCCTTTTGGGGAAAGATAGAGATTGGTAATAGAAAAAAATGGAGCAGTCTTGAGCTCCACTTACCATCTGCTTAGGGCAACGAAGGATAAACCTGGGGAAATTAGTTTTAAAAAGATGTGTAGGACAGAGTAGACAGGTGGACATGTGGCTCGAAGGACAATGTCCTATCTCTTGATTCTAAAGAAACAAGTGTGTGTGTGAGTAACCTGATGAAGGTGTGCTACCTTGCTTCCTTACACCACCCTCGTTCCCCAAGAACATGACAGACACCAAGAGACCAGAGGATGCAAATAAATGGAACAAGGGAACAAAGGGCAAGATGTTAGGTAAAAAGAGGAAGAATGAAGAAGCTGACAGCAAATACAACACAGAGGAAGAAAAATAAGGAGACTTACAGGAAAAAAAAAAATCTCACCCCTGGGCAGTCAAGCTATTTTCCTCAAATAACTGCTTATCCTAACAAACTCTGCAACAAAAGGATCACAGAGCCTGAAACACTGCTGAAAAGACAAGGAATCTGAAGCGTTCATAGTCCGTACAAAATAAACGCAAGGCAGAGCAGAAAGGGAAACAACAGCTAAGCAGCCAGGTCAGAGAAATCCAATTTGACATGTAACTGAAAAAGAACTGGCAAGGGTCTAGAAATATCTAGGCTTTTTAGGAAGAGGCAGAAATCTGAGAAGGCAAAATAAAAGACGAAGGATTCACTTCCCTTCTCCCTCTTAGATAACATACTACTCGTATCTTTTCTGTAAACTGTGGAAACTCCACAAAGCCCTTTCTCCTTATCAGAATCATGAACTCCCGAGTACAGAATCCATCATGCTTACTTGTTTCAAGACACTTGAAATCATGAAACCTGTAAGCATAATGAATACATTATATTCATTTGAAAAATATATACTTATTGAACATCTGCTGTGTCACAGGGTATTTAATACACGTTAACCAAAGAACTGAGAGTTTTCACATACATCCCTCACAGTCTTGACAAACCTGTGTGGAATGTGACACTAAGACATGGAAACATTACCTAATCTCACAACTACACTCATCATTTGGTGGCTGTTTTTTTTTTTTTTCCCCTGTAGCTCAATCACAGACTTACGTCTTACAGCAAGAAAACTCAACCAGTCATGGCATTGGTACATCCCTCTTTCCCTTTCAAGGTTTTTAGGAAATGACTCGATTTTTAATGGGGAAGTTGCAACAGCTTCTGTCTTTCCAAGCAGGTCTCTCAGGCCTAATTTTATCAAACAGCTGGGAGGCAGAGACTCAAGGAGGCTTATCATTAAGAAAGCCAGGACAGACTGGGAAGGACTGGCTTGGGAAAAGCACTTTTTTTTTTTAATCTACAAAGACTCAGTCAAATTGTTCAGTGACAACCACATTCATCAACGTATCTTGCACAGTTTAAAAAGGAATTCTATATTGGATGGTATATAAGGCTACATTCCACAATTATACTAACTAAGCTCACATATGGCATGTGCTCCATTAAGCTAATTCAAGCTTCATTTCTGGTCTAGAAAAATAATGGTGTTTAAAAGATTTCCAGTCTTTACTACTAAAAGACATGCTAGCAACAGGTAGTAGAAATGAAGTTACCTTTAAGTAAACTCAGGTATCTTCTTCTCTTAAAAATCTAATGACACTTTTGAGAGTACGCTTCCCAGTTTACCCATGTTAATCTATCCCTCCTTTGTTTCAATTTGGTTATAAAGTCAAACTTAACAAACAGGGTCTGGATTTAGGAATTATCTACCTTTTATTCAAACCCAAAGGTCAATTTCAAGTGTAAAAGTATGAAAAAACAGACAGAAAGTAGACTAGAATGGTGGAGTACTGAGAGAGGAGGGCATGTGGCATAGTCTCCTAAAGTCAAAAAGGGAGGAATTCAATGGACGAGCAGGCCACTGGATAGGGAGTAAGAGTTGGCATGATGAAGCCAGGGCATGAAAAAGGGAAGCAGAGGGTAGCAGACTGCAACAGAAAAATAGGTCCCTGGAGGCAAGGAAGAAAAACCTGGGAAGCATAACAACAGAAAGAAACACAGGAACCACAGGAGATGGGAGCAGCCATCACAGAGTTAAAGTAACAGCCTAGGCAGCTAAACCTTTATTAACTACAAAACGAAGTGAACTATAGCATCTGCTCAGTGCTGGCTCTAACCTGGTCCTGTACTCAGTGGCCATAACTTAATGTTCAAGAAATAATTCCACAATTCTGCCACCCTTATTTCATTTTTTTTTTGAAAGGCAAATAAAATTTCTGAGAAACAGAATACTGGTAGTAGGGTATGCATTTCTGCACTCCAAACCAGGGGCTGGCAAACTACAGACTGCAGGTCAAATCTAGCCAGTCATCTATCTTCGTACAGCCCATATTTAAGGATGGTTGTTACATTTGTTTTTATGGCTAAAAAAAAAAGAAAAAGAAGTATATTTTGTAACATGTAAACTCACATTTCAGTGCCCGTAAAAAGGATTCTGGAACACAACCACGCCCATTCATTTAGTAGCGTATGTGGCTGCTTCCCCCTACAAGGGCTGAGCTGATGCATGCACACGACCCTGTACAGCCCGCAAATACTTACTCTCTGACCCTTTACAGAAGAAGTGTTCCAACTTCTGCTCTACACCAAACTGAACACTTGACATGTTTAGCTGTTTTAACTGTAAAAATCTTGCAAGCCAGGTATTTCTTCTCGAAATGTCTTCTGGAAATTACAGAACCATGTCACAGCAAACCATAAACAGTCCCATGAGTAAGAGTGTGATGATATGTTATTGAGGGAGGGAGAGAGGAGGGAAGAGAAAGAGAGGAAGGGAATATGGTTTCTGGGGGAAAGTGACCTCTCAGACAGTAAGTGCAACCTTAATAAGATCATACTGCTATCAGAGAGCCTGAAGAGAACATGTAACAGGATTCCAAAGCTGACTAAGCCGCAAAAACCGCAACACAGACTTCAAGGATCTTGCCTTCCAATAAAAGTGCACTGGATGGATCTAGAGATGATCATACTAAGTGAAGCAAGTCAGACAAAGACAAAGACAAACATTATACAATATAACTTACATGCAGAACCTTAAAAAAAAAGATAAAAATACACTTATTTACGAATCAGTGAGAAACAGACTCACTGACACAGAAAACAAATTTATGGTTACCAAAGGGGGAAGAGGGGGAGAGATAAATTAGGAGTTTAGGATTAAAAGATACACACTACTACATATAAAACTGATAAACAACAAGGACCTACTGTATAGCACAGGGATCTACATTCAGTATCTTAAAATATCCTATAATGGAAAAAAAAACTGAATATATATGTAACTGAATCACCTGAAACTGACACAACATTGTAAATCAACTATACTTCAATTTTATAACATTTTTTAAGTTAAAAAGAAAAAGAAAAAGAAAAAGTATGTTACTAAACAGCCATCAGTTTGTACTTCTTTTCTAAACCATGAAATGAGTTCTTACTAGTGTCTACAAGCAAAGGCAACCCTTGATTATCTTAGCTATACAGGGTGTAAGAGAGGCCCCTATCACTTACTGGCAAAATTTAAACATACTTTGATGTACTTGGTTTTGGCTCTTTCCACAGGTTGGAGGGAGTTGGTTAAGTATTATAGTTTAAAAGGTATGGGCCAGTGGGGAGGGTTAGCTTAGTGGTAGAACACATACTTAACATGCACGAGGTCCTGGGTTCAATCCCCAGTATCTCCATTAAAATAAAATAAATAAATAAGTTTAAAAAAAATTTTTTTAATTAAAAGGCACAGGCCCATAATGTCAGATGTTTGGGACAGTGTTAACAAATGACTTTATAACCTGCACAGCTCATGTCCATGGAAATATAAAAGCAAACGTTCTAAAAAGAGTGGAATGCGATCCAATGTAAGTAGTGTGATGAGTGTATTTCAGGAAAAGTGCCACTAATCCAAATGTTTAAAACAGTTAAAAGAGGCTACATAATTTGAGAGCAGTATCTTTGATATTTGTTTACACCTTCAGAAAATTCTTGGCTAAAAGATTAGATAGAAAAATCCATCTGTAAAGTTAACTGTGAAGTTACCAAACCCAACAATTATTTTATTATAATTATTTTTTAAAACCACATCCAAAGCATCACAAACCTAACAATAAACACCATAATAAACAAACTTTTCAAACTACGGGTCTCCCTTGAGTAATAAACAACAATTTCTAACCTTCTGGATAACATGAAGATGCACTCTTGTTGGCATGAAGCTAAAATAACCCAGTTAGCAATTTCAGAAAGTTGCTGAAGTAAGGTTTGGCTAGAAAAATGAAAGTGAGATCGAAGGCATGTCTACCACTAAAGACTGCTCTGCACAAGGTAAAACAGGAAAAGGCAGGGGCTCTGGTATCATGGCCTCTAAGAACACAATTCTCACAATCTAAGAATCTCTGTATAAAAAGATAAAAACCATGTAGCAACAAAAAAATAAAGTCTCGTTGATAAGAGTCTGAAGATACTTTATTGAGAGGGAGACAGCGCAAGTACACTGTTTCAGTGGGTAAATGATCTCCCAGACTAACACACTGAAATGTTTTTAATCTAAGACCGTTACAGTAGCACTATACCATACGTGCAACCTGAAAAAGTCATCAATGGTAACCAGTGACTTCAGTCACAGACTAGAACGTGCCCCCAGTGATTACAGCACGGCGGAGACCGCTATTAAATTATGTGGTAGAATTTAAACCCCATGCTCCGCTCTGGCCCAGGCTAGAGGGATAAGTGCGGGCGAGAAATGCAAACTCATCGGTGCTTTGACCTTAACACAGGGGCAGCCCCAGCGACATTCCTCTAAGAGCGCGATGCACCTCAAAATCATTCCCAAACCGGCCCAGCCACGCCCTCCCGCGAGGGCGTCCTCAAAAGTTTTGCTCGGGAGGGAAATTGAGGCACAGGGGATTTACCCAGGTTGGCGGAAGGAACGCCAGACAAGCCTTCGTCTCCCAGGGCCGGGGAGCCCCGAAGCCGTGGCTGGGACCAGGGTTCCAGAGCGGCAGAAAGCAGCCTGAAAGCGGGTCCAGACCCTCTGGCACGACCTCCCCTCCCCCTCCCGGCGCCCGCCCGGCCGGGGCCGCCGCCCGGTACCTCTCGATGACTGAGGCCACCAGCTGCGGCAACTCCTTCATCTCGAAGGCGGAATAGGACGCGGACAGCAGGGGCCTCACAGCCACCTCCCATCCCGGGGTCGTGTCTGCCCCCGTTGCCGGGGCCCCGGGCGCCGGCGCCGCAGCCGCCGCCTCTTCGCCGCCGCTCGTCGCCATCTTCCGTCGTACTACTGCGGCTCCCTCCGGGGGTTTGCCACCGGCCCAGCACCGCCTCCCGGGAGGGGGCGGAAGTGACGCAATCGTCGCGTCAGACTGCGCGACGCGGTCTCCAGCCAAAACACGCGACGCGACAGGACGGCCTCTCTCTGCTCTCGCAACGGGAGCGTGGCGCGGCGTTTGGGGCGGATCCAAGGGGCTGCGCCTGCGCGGGACGCAGCGCTTCGGGTGAGGGCGGCAACGTTAAGTTCCGCGCCTGCGCGCTGGAAGTCGTTCCTGAAGTTGGGAGTTCTAGGGCTTCCACGCACCGGAGAAAGGTGAGTTGGGAACTTAGTTTTCAGTTGACAAGACTAAGGCAGCGAAGTAGATCATGCATCGGTGAATACCATAGTCCCGGCTCGAGACAGCTAAGGATGAGAAGAGGAGGTCGAAGCCTAATCATTCTCACCCGCTTCTTCCCCTCTCTGATGCGTCCCCAACCATAGTTAATACTAAAGCTCTTCAGTTTACAAAGCTCTTTCTGCTTCTCACACCACCTCTCGCTGTTATTGTAATCACTGGTCCTTACTTTCTTCACACTCAAATCCCTTTTATGTTTTGGTTACCCTCATTAGTAATGTTACCAGCTCGCGTTTGCATCGCTCTTTGCGATTTGCTGTGTAAAGTTCCATTTCCCCCGCTCTTCTACTAACAAAGAATGTAACTTTTTATCTACAGGGTATAATGTCTAGATTTTTAACGACAAAATGATCTGGGTTTTAGATCTAAGCGAGAAAAGCACTTTGACTCTGGGAAAGGTATGCTTGCCTTGAGGGCCTTCTTGTGTTTGAGGGCTTGATGAACAACGTCAAGCTTGAGGCCCTGAGATTCTCCCCCCCAAGGTTTGGAGGAGCGCCTTTTGTTCCCGGTATAATGCTGATAAATAAATTGGTACCTGGTGATCAATCTGGACTTTTAGTAAGGAGAGACCTACTTTACATTAGAAATAAAATGCACCCAAGTCAAGGCCAATCTTGAGGAAAACGTGGCTTAATTAATAACCGTGGGGATTTTCCTTTAATGTCTTCCGTATATGAGGGTCAGTAATAATTAACAACAGATTTCTTAAACGTAAAAATAAGAAAAATGAAAGGCATAAAAAAATAACCTTTCTGGAACACAGTAAATATGGTACCACTGCAAGACAGAGAACAGAGCCCTAAGGAGAGGCTGGAGACCAGGCATTTTTGTAGTGGCTCTTGGGACATTAATTTTATTTTACCCAAAGGACAAAATTATTCTGCAAAGGTTCTCTTGGAGAGGTTTCAGGAAATAATAAAAGAGTAAATGATCCTACTCCCTTCCTCCTCCTGCTGCAGCTGGAAGAGAATAAAAAGGCAAATACAGACTATCACAGGGACATTTGCACCTGCTCCTGAACATATTTTTTAAAATACTTTTACTATTTCTGGTTTGTGGATTTGGAGAAAGCACTGTAGGTAAAGATCTTTCTTTATAAATACCACATTAATTTCAGTATTGGAAATTTGTTCTTGTGTTGCTGTAAAAATTTGGAATGGCATGTATATTCTAAATTTAGATAACAAAAGAAAGGAACAGGATAAATAGTATACAAAAAGACTTCCAGATAAAACGTCAGCTTCTAGTACTTTGGTCCAGAAAATAAGATAGAAACTAAAGAATAATCCCTTCTAATCCCAAGTGGCTGGGCAAGGCACTAAATAAATTATGAAAGAGATAAAAGAGAAATACATAGTCATGTCACAGGAAATGCAATGAAAGGAAAAAAATTAAGCAGCCATAGGCGAATGGTATAGTTTAAAGATCAATGTGGCTTATAAAATAAACAACAAGGATTTACTGTATAGCACCAGAAACTGTATTCAATCTCTTATAATAAACTATAATGGAAAAGAATTGGAAAAAATATGTAGATCTATACATACATACAACCGAATCACTTTGCTGTACACCTGAAACTAACACAATATTGTAAATCAACAACTTCAATTAAAAACAAGCAAACGGGGGGGGGGGGGCGGTATAGCTCAAGTGGTAGAGCACATGCTTAGCATACACAAAGTCCTGGGTTCAATTCCCAGTACCTCCTCTAAAAATAAATAAAATAAGTAAACCTAACTACCTCCCCCGCAAAAAATGTTTAAAAAAATAAATAAATAAAAACAAGCAAACAAACAAAAGCAATGTGGGAATGCAGAGTAGGAGGAGGCATGAGACCTGCTGGGAGCTGGGAGAGTTCTGTATCTTGACACAACTCATGGTTCCATGAATACACACACGGAATTCATTGAGCTATGTATGCTTAGGATGTGTCACTTTAGTGGTTATAAATTATCCCTCCAAAAGCAAACAACAAGAAGAGGTGAATGTCACTGCAGAAACAGTACTCAAAAGCAAGAGATACTAGTGTTTTTATTTCAAAAAGATTCCATCTGATAGAGAGTTGCTTGAAATAAATCCTAGGAGATACTGTGTGTTTAGAAACGATTGGATGAATAAACCATCACTATTAGCTCCCAGGGGGGCCAGCAGAAGTCAAGTCAATCTGTTCTTGAGATTTTAAAAGTTGTAAGAACCAGTGGTCAGTGCATATTCTGTGGAAACTTCTAATGCAACACTGAATACTACAAATGGAGAACAGCTCCTTTTTGGTAATTCTCAGTGAACAGTTTCTTTTTTTTTTGAATACCAAGAATATAAGTGAATAGATAGAAGCCTAATTCAATTTGGTGGTATGATACAGTCATTTGTAATCCAAAAGTATTGACTTTTTTCCCCACAATACTGCATTTTATATAGTCTGAATTTGAAACAAATTCTTCTTATTTTGTTTATAAAAGGACATACAACACCAAAAAGATACCTTTCATTTTTAAAATGGAAATTATGGTACCACAAAGCTCATTTCCTATATTGATCTTACGAGCATTTGTTTTAAGTAGTAAAGTGCAGTTTGTCAGAGCTCGTGCTCCAGGGCACACCAGGAAAAGGTGGATAGGACTCTCTTGGCATTTCAATCAGTATAAGAATTCCTTACTAAGTCTTCAAAGGCACTGTAGAAATGTGAGGCACTAGGGACAAAGGTCCTAAGGCTTCTATGAAGAAGGCATAACCATTCAGGGAACTGTTTGTCAAGTAGCAGCTTCATGCTTAAGATAGTGGGGAATTCAGAAAAGTTTAACAATCCCTAGGAGACACAGAATGACTGAAATAATAAAATACTAGGATACATCATTCAGGAAATTGTGTGGTTAGTTGCCAGGAAACTCAGAGGTCCTGGGTAGCCAAAAGCAACAGGGAAGGCTTTATGGAGTTTAGGTTTCAGACAAGCCAGATACTGAGAAGGGATGAAAGCATTCCAAGTAAAGAACACAGAGAAGGAACAGATTCACGACTTTAAAACAAAACTTTTTAATGAACAGAGATCCGTAAATAAGTCTTGGGGTAAAGATTGTAGTTTATGTAATAAGTTCTTACCAAAGAAAGCAATTTCTAAAGGCAGTGAAATTACAAATCTGAAATTTCTGAGCTGAAAGACACCTTATATACCATGTAATCTGTCCCCTCACACAAATGATGAAACACACTCAGGGGTTAAGTGACCTGCATTAAAGTCTTTAACACATATGTTAGGAATTGAGTATTTTTTTATATCATACTTTGTTCTGGAAAGGATTTAGGGAATCTTTATGAATACATGATGTTTAAAATGCATTAGTTGAAGTAGCAGAATTAAACAGCATGATCCCATTAGTGTGCATGTTCTATTTAAAATCAAGGGAAAAGAGATTTTAAGTGACTTAAGACTGACACAACTATTCCTGATACTGAGACCTGAGGGAAATTTCTCATTGTTCCTCTATATAATATATTTAAAAATGTCCTTAACAACATCTCTAGAATAAATGCGGAACCAAGTTCTAAAATCCATTCCTGAGGATAGGCTATGACAAAATACTGCCTCCCTCCCACCCAGCCCCAAATTCAATCTAGATGCTCAGTTCTCTGCTGGTCTGGCTTAATCTAGGGATTGATAAGAGAGTAGCCTGAAGAAAAGATGGATTACACACACACACACACACACACACACACACACATACACAATGAGGTATCACCTCACACCAGTCAGAATGGCCATCATTCAAAAGTCCACAAATGACAAATGCTGGAGAGGCTGTGGAGAAAAGGGAGCCCTCCTACACTGCTGGTGGGAATGCAGTCTGGTGCAGCCACTCTGGAAAACAGTATGGAGATTCCTCAAAAGACTAGGAATAGACTTACCATATGACTCAGGAATCCCACTTGAAAATGACACCTGCACCCCAATGTTCATAGCAGCACTATTTACAATAGCCAAGACATGGAAACAGCCTAAATGTCCATCAACAGATGACCAGATAAAGAAGATGTGGTATACTATTCAGCCATTAAAACTAACAATGTAATGCCATTTGCAGCAACATGGATTTTCCTGGAGTATGTCATTCTAAGTGAAGTAAGCCAGAAAGAGAAAGAAAAATGCCATATGCGGAATCTAAAAAAAAAAGAAAGAAAGAAACATAAATACAAAACAGAAACAGACTCACAGACACAGAATATAAACTTGTGGTTGCCAGGGGGACAGGGGGTGGGAAGGGATAGCCTGGGATTTCAAAATGTAGAATAGATAAACAAGATTGTACTGTGTAGCACAGGGAAATATATACAGGACCCTGTGGTGGCTCACAGCGAAAGAGAATGTGACAATGAATGTATGTTCATGTATGACTGAAAAATTGCTCTACACTGGAATTTGACACAACATTGTAAAATGACTATAACTCAATAAAAAAAAAGTTAAAAAATATATATATACACATATGGAGGTGTCCACCACAAATGTCTCAACCAGTCTCCTTCTGAGTTACGTTTATTCTTATAACTGCTGTTTCACCCAGTTAATTTTCATTTTTTTATTGAAGTATAGTCCATTTACAATGTTGTGTCAATTCATTTTATTTTATCGTATATCATTTGCATTTGTGTAAGCTGTCCCAAGAGCTTTTTGCAGTGGTGAGAAACTGACCAATGAAATCAGCATTCAACTTCCTGGAGCACAGCTGTTCTGTGCTGCTAGCTAAGCACGGAGCTCTACAGTTTAACCCTCATTAAAGCTGGGGAGCGCAGCAATATCCTCTCCTTAACATGAGGGAGCCTGACGGGGATTCATGGCTGAACAGAAGGCCGAAGGAATGCCTTCAAGAAGTCTTACATCTGCTCCAGTGCAGACAAAAGGGTGGTCAAGGCCCAGAAGTCTACTCCATAGAGAAAGGCAAAACGATTCAACTTGCAACTTAAAATTGTAGACTCTAAGCAAAATAAGGAATTGGAGGAATGCTAACAAAAATTATTTGGGTTTCAGAAATGTTTAACTCTGTAACTTGTTTTTGTAGTTAAACTGCTGGGTCAGTTGTATATTAGAGCCACCCCTAGTTTATGACAATAAAATTGTATTAACTGCACACTAGCCTGCTCACCTTTCTTTGCTGGGGATGGGGAAAAGGGAGCAGGTATCAACCTCTTCCAAAAATGGTGTTAAATCAGTAAGTTATAATCTTAAGAGGGTAAGTAGAGCATAATATATTACTTTTTAAACCCCCTTCCCCCAAAAATTACCTTTCAAAATTTTAGAAGGGTCTTACTGACCTGAATGTTCTAACTGCAATTCTGTATTTAATTCATGCACGTTCCCCAGTAACTGATTCCGGTCCAGAGTCAAAGGCTAAGGAGAAATTATAACAAAATACACAAACCGTTTTACATTATTCCCAACAGGGAATGAGAATCAATAAATACTGTTTAGTGACAAAACTTTACACCAAAAGATCTCGTATGTTGACCATACTACTTTTTAAAATGATGAAAAAATACTGGAGAATTTGCTTTCTTAAATGAGACATTGCAGGGGGCTCCAAAAAAACCTAATTAAGAAAGATGGAAGGCAGGGGGCCAGATGGCTCTGGGGCTAAGCACAGAAAAAGAGGAAGACAAAACACATCAGAGAATTGGGAAGAAACAGTTTCAAAAGCCATAGGTGGAGGCTGAGCATAGCCGGTCAGAACCCAGTGCTGCTTTAAGATAAAGAAAGGTTGAGAACTAAGAAGGCTTCAATTTGACTGGATCGATAGCATTAGCTATTTTAACCACCTTCTTTGAAAAGAGTAATGATTAAAGCCAAAACAGGGAATTTTGTGAAAGGGCAGATAACTTCCCTCCCATAGCGTGTTCTTTCAGATTCTGGCACAGACGTGGGTAAATGGAAACTAGAATCTAGCAGATTTTTTGGGCTGTGTAAGCAGAGCAGGCAGCAAGGCAACCACTAATGCTGCAGCTTGCACGTGTTTATATAGGACAGTCAGAATTCCAGCCAGGCTTTCTCGAAACTAGGGCAGATCTTTTGTAACTTGTACTTACTCCTGTCTCCCAGGTCATTTTTAAACAAAATATGCCTTGAGTCAGGATGAATAGACGACTGTTTCTTCTGCAGATACTCAGATGTTCATTCATTAAAATTAATTTCACAATCTTATCCTAAAGTAAATTATTTTCATTTCTCTTCCTTCTCTACCATTAGCGTATCACCACAAAAAGAAAAAGCTTTGTTTTTTAAATAACACAACTCTTACAGAAATAAATTGGCATGTTTCCCAATTAAACTACTACCTTCACCCCACTTCTGCACAGCTTTGTCGCCTCTAATGCAGAAGTAGCCTCAGTGTGATGTTCCAAAGCCACAAAAAAGGACTTAAAACAGTGTTATTCGTCACTTGCTTTATTCAGACCCTTAAACGTACCTCTCTGACAGGGCTCTCTGTACACTTCATTCTTCACAGTAAAGAAAAACTCCATCATCCCCCAAATCCATGAACAAGTGAAGGCTTTTAGGACATCTTTAACTTGCAGCAGAGACAACAGCCCAATCAGCAGTGCTACATCCACAAGACACCAGTTTCCTCCCCCAACCTATCCCTCCCTCCTTTTTTTAAAGATCAGTAAGACTTCAAATCTGCTCATTTTAAGAGAAATACAGTAACCCACACATTAATTTATAACTGAAAATAAATAATGAGGTTCTTAAACAAGGACAAAT